CTCCTCCTCCTCCTCCTCCTCCTCCTCCTCCTCCTCCTCCTCCTCCTCAAGCGTAGCCGTGGGTCTGCGGGCTGTGGACCGCACCACCTGGAGGACCAGCCTTGTAGTGATTCTGCTCGTCCTCACACTGAGCGGGACGGCAGAAACCCTAATATCGTCACACATCGCATGGGCATACACTCGCGCCGTCCCTCTTGACAAGGACAGCTCTCCGGACCAGACCGGGAAGAGCGGAGCAGGGTTATCTTCCCGCCAGTGCGGGTGACCTGGCCATAGATTGCAGCCATCGCCATCCAGCGCGGCGATCTGCACCGGGCCGCCTCATCCGCCTTCGGCGACAAGCAGCTTGCCTGCGGGGCCTCTGGTCTGTGTCACCGCCTGAACCGTTCGATATTGAGCGATCTCAACCGTCGGGGGGATGCCGTTGAGGGTCTCCACCCTTGAACGCCCGCGCACGCGTTGTCGTCACGCAAGGGCGGCACGAACGTGCCATACCTGAAAGAGGGGCAGGGTGGTGAAGATGCGTGGGCCTTGCGGTCACAAATGGCATCTTGGACTGTACCATCAAGTGCATCTCTAACTCTACAAATCCAAAAAAGGGGAGCTGGGGCTGGGCCGTAACAATCAAGCTGCTCGCGGATGAGCGGACGCCTGCCTGGGGCTGCCCCTGCGAGCTAGCTCGGGGAAGCGGGGTCACTCAGTCGGCCCATGCGGAGCAGCTCCAGCACAGGTCCCTCAAGTGGTTCAATCACCCGTCGCATGCTAGTCGTCGTCTCTTGAGTCTGAGGGTTGAAGCCCTGCTTCTCCTTCAGACTTCGCACGAGCAGGTGTCCGTAGCCTTGGTGCTTATTTAGGGGTAGTAACCCCTTTCTCCACAACCACTCCGTCTTCTCCATCTTCCCCTTTGCCATCACATCCTTGGGAACGGAAAAACGCACATACCAAGACGCAGACCTGACTGAATCAAATCACCCAAAACAAAAGCATTCAAAACGAAACCGTGGCGGAGGATCATCTTAACCTGGACGGCTTCCTCCTGTGTTGCGCTCAGGGGTGTGGGATGCCCGTTTGACTGTTCGCTTGCGCGATGGCAGCCTTCCGCTCTCCCGAGCCCTCGGTTCTGTACACAGCGTCAGAGACGCTGTTCACCGAGCAGTCGTACGCCCGCCACATGAGCAGCGCCCGCGCCTCCTCCCAGGACTCGTAGCAGCCCAGGCGGCAGTCGAAGTGGGGCAGCACCCGCGCCAGGCCCTCGAGGCTGCGCCCCTCGCTGGAGCAGCACTGCGCAAGGCCCATCACAAACTTCGCGGTGACGATGCCGGCCGCGAGCGTCGTCAGCTTCTGCACGCGGCCACTGTACAGGTGCGCTTGCCGCTCGCCCCGGACGACGGTCGTGGGCTTCAGGAAGACGATCAGCTCGTCGCTCTGCGTGAAGCCCAGGACGGCCCCGAACTCCTCCATGAGGTGCCGCAGGCAGCCGCGCATGCACTGGGCGAACCGTTCCGAGAAGCCGCCTGGCTCGATCACACCAAGCCTGCGCATGACACGCGTGGCCTTGCTGAAGTTGGAACCGTCCAGCCGCAGGGAGATCCAGCGCGCGCCATCCACGCGGTGCCCAGCGGCGCCCCTCTCCCGCTCGGCGACGAGGTCGCCCAGCGCGTCCCAGTGCCTCTTGGGCACGTGCGGCGCGTTGTAGTGGAGCGAGGGGTCCATGCCCGGGATCACCTCGGGCTGGAACCTCGCCAGCCTCCCGAGGATCTCGGCAGCGCCATCTGCCAGCGAGGGGGCGGCCTGGCCGTCGCAGAGCGGGCAGGCGTCCCGCAGCAGGAGGCCCGACCCCGCGCAGACGGCGCAGCGCTCCATCGCCGATGGCGCGCTCGCACCGTCTGTCTGCAGGCATCGGCCGCTGGAGCCGATGCTCGGCTGCAGCAGGGAGGGCGAAAGCATGCAGCAGGGGGCAGAGAGGAGCAGCACAGGGCGCCCTCCCCCGCCGACCGGAAGCTCGGGAGGTCCGGCCACGGCGGGGAGGATGCCCTCCTCCTCCTCCTCCTCCTCCTCCTCCTCCTCCTCCTCCTCCTCCTCCTCCCCAGACCAGACACCCACGGTACCGTCCTGAACGAATCAAGACGGCCGTACTTGTCTGACTGTAGGCCTCCAGAGCGCCAGACAAAGCCTGGGGACCAACGGAACACAAGCCACAAAGGAAACTCCATGCGTACTGTGAGGCCGAGGACTCCAGGACAGCACGCACTGAAAGTAGCGGGAAGTCGAGGGCCTGGGCCAACCCCCCTACAAGTTGGGGCCACAAAGCAAGCAAGCGCTGGCGCTCCTTGACAAGCGAGCAGTACAGGCTGTACGTACCCGCCCGGGTGGATGGAGCGGTGGGATTGGCAACCCGTTCCCGATGGCGACGTTGGAGAATGATAGCCATGAGGACCAGGGAAGTCAATATCCGTGTCCTATTCTGACGGCATGGATCTTCCAGTAGTTGCTCCAGCGAGAAGAACATAGGTGGTGACTCTGGCTATCGGCTAGCGTGTCGACCAGCACTGGCCGCGGGGTCAGCGTTCCCCGCATGAGCGCGGAAGAACCCCATCTAGTGTTCGTCTCGGGAGCCAATGCGAATGAATCGGCGGTGGACAAAACCTCCCTTTAGTAAACCACCCTTTAGTGAAAACGGCCTAGGACCGACACCGACGGACCTGGACCCGCGAAAATGACGGCCGCGACGCCCTCTCGCGAACCGAAAACGGCCAATTCGCTAATCGACGTGTCGAGGTAGGAGGTCTATCAACCTCCGAATGAAGGACAGCGAGGAGAACAAGAGGGGGAGGCCAGTCCGGTGCCTGTGCACACAGCCAACTTGGCGGCCCGCGACCTCACCCCTGGCCCTGGGAAGGGGCGAATCGCCCTGGAAGCGAGCCACATCCTCTTCCCCCTCGCCTCCTCGTCATCCTCCAACGTACGCATACTCTTCCCCCCTCCTCCTCCCAGCTCCTGCTCTTCCTTCCTCCCGTCTCCTTCCCTCCTCCCTCCCTGCCCTCCTCCTGGAGGAGGCCCCCCCCACGAATCCGCGGCGGACCAGACAAGGGAACCGAACTCTATACACCGACGCTGTTCTCCGGTCCTGCGCTGAAATTTGCACAGGGAAGCGGATCCTGGTGTATACAAGACCCTTATGTACATGTTTCGCTGTTTTCCAGGAAAACGGAGAAAAGTATACACGACGCCATCCCGAGGTCGTCCCCGACCCTAAAAAGTCCTGGGATTGAAAAACAGCCTGCCACTGGTAATGTAATCATGCTCCAGTTTCCGACAGAGGCCAACTCGCGGCGGATCGCGTGCTGCTCCCAGGCCTCCGCGGACACGGGAGGCGCCGAGAAAGGCGAGAGCGCCGGGGGGGGGGGGGGGGCTGCCCCCCCGGAGAGCGAGGCGGTGCGCTCCGAAAAATGGACCTCCTCCTCCTCCTCCTCCTCCTCTTCCTCCTCCTCCTCCTCCTCCTCCTCCTCCTCCTCCCAGCGACGTCGCTTTAAAAATCCACCCTGCTGCCGAGGCTGCCGTGCGCGAGCCGGCACGCTCGGAGAGCGGGCGTCCTGGCCATGGCAGTGTGCTCCACAGCGCTCGCACAGCGAAGTGCGCCGCAAGCGAGCAAGCACGCTCGGGAGGGGCTGCCGTCAGGTACTCCAGAGTTCGTAACAAAAGGGAGGGGGGTCTCATTTCGGGGGGGGGCTCTTCCAGGCCATCCTGGAGGGCCTGGGGGCTCTGGGGACGATGTTTGGGAGGACGGTACTCCCCCCGAAAGAGACCCTCCCATCCCCCTCCATTATTACGAAATCTGGAGTAGTGCTGCACTGATGTCGAGGCGGTGTGCCACAGCCCGCTGGGAGTGAGACTCCTGGTAAGGACGCCGCCAGCGCGAAGTGCAGAGGACACGAGCTGGCAACCTCGCGAGGCTCGCGGGAGGACCGCGGGAGGGACACCAGCCCAGGGCACCTGTTGCGAGGGAGCAGCTGAAGTAGACAGTAGGACGCACACGGGCAAGCCTGGTTCGGGAACATTTCAAAGCTTGCTTAACAATAGCAAAAAAGAAACTCGCACGCCAGAGCTGTCCTGGCATGGCATTGCAATCCGCAGCCTAGTCACAATGCTAAACCAGAATCAGCCAGTTCAATGGAACCACCCCGCTATCACACTATGAAGGCAATAGCAGTACACACGTCGCGTACTCTGAGTACCTGAACAACCGCGTTGTCGCCGTTACCATGCGCTGTGCACCAGCCAGCTAGCATCGGCCGCCAACACCAGAGCTCGAGGAGCCAACAGAGGACGCCCCCTGCTGGAGCCTTGACTGCTACTCCATGTTTTCATGCTACGTCCTCCTCCTCCTTCTCCTCCTCCTCCTCCTCCTCCTTCGTCTCCTCCTCCTCCTCCACATCATCCTGCTCCGCCACCCGTATCCAACGTTGGCGGCCATTTTATCCCAGAGGCCCCGCCTTCGGAAGCGTGCGCACAAGCTTCAGGAGGCTATCCTGGAAGGCGCCACCGGATGCCTTGGGCTTCTTGTCCCCGAGGCTCTGCTTCCGCAGGTCCTGGGATCGGCTGGGGCGCTCCGAGGCGGGACAAAGCCCACGAAGGCACGAGGGACCATGGAGGACGAGGAGAACCAGCAGGAACAGCAGCGCGACGAGGAGAGTGGAGGGGGGGAAGCATCCGCAAGAACATCGATGTTCCGAGCCGCATCCGGGCGCGGCGACGAGGGCACAACCCCCCCTGGAGCCCAGCAGAAAACACGTGCTGACAGGCTGACTGGGCGCAGAGCTTTGGACGCCCAAAATGGGTACGGAAAAAATGGGTACAATGCCCAACAACAAATGTTGTCCCAAACCAACAGCGGCCGCTGTTGGGCAGGCGGCCTTCTGCCTCAAATGGGCACAGGCCGCGGCGGCGCGGACAGCGAGTCCTGTTCAAAATGAACAGGAACTGCTGTTGGGCAGAGTACCCATTCTTTCCGTACCCATTTCGTTCGTGCCGAGAGCGGAGCACCGTTCAATCTTCGCGCTCTCGCGCCGGCTCCCCGGGGAATGAGGGCGTTCCGGCCCAGGCCGCGAGGCGAGAGGCGAGGATCATCCCGAGCGCTCCTGCGAGTAGCGCGGACGCACGCAGGTGGATCGACACCCGCGTGAAGCTGCTGGGTCAGGGAGGGGCTTCGGTCGACACGGGCGCACGGTGCCACTTGGCGGCGCGCCGGGGGGGGAAGTGGGGGGGGGGCAGGCCTTCTGAGAAGGCGGGGGGGCTTCTCGGAAGCCCTTGCGCCAGCCTGAAAAGTTCTGCGTTTCCAGGGAATGCTTAGAACACTTGTCCGAGGCCTCCCGAGCGTTCTCAGAAGGCCCACCCCCTCTGCATTCCCCCCTGGGCTCGCCGCCGAGCAGCGCCACGCAGTGCCGCGCAGCCTCACTGTGCCACTGTGTGGCCTCTGCGACTTTGATCAGCCTCGCTGAGTCTGGAGATTTGGTGTTGGCGGAACATGCCGACCACGCTTACCTAGAATCCCACCATCCCTGTGGGCGTAGGTGGTTTACCGAACTTTGTCTTCTGTCTGCCAAAACCTCTCCTTCCCCTGCTCGGGGGAGGGGTTTAGCCCTCCCACTACCCCCTCCCCTGGGCCTGGGCTGGGCCTGGGAAGGGGGGGTGGACGGATGGGGTTAGATTGTCCAGGATGGCCCACGAAGGCTCCAAGAGTGTCTCCGAGAGCTCAGGATGGCCTCCAAGATGGCTGAAGATGCCTCAATACGCTTCAAGACAGCATCCGACAAACATCCAAGAAGTCTCAAGATTGTTTCAGAGACCTCCGAGCCCTCCACGGACGCCCCCAAGAGGCCAAACTGGCGCGAAAGCCGAAGGAAAATCAGTGTGGTGTGCCTTCTCGCCTTTTTCGTATTTGACAGGCTCTCGAGGCCTTACGATGGCCCTAAGACGGCCCAAGAAGGCCCCAAGGAAGCCCAGGAGGGCCCAAAGAGGGCCCCAAGAGCGCCCAAGAGCGCCCCAAGAACGCCCGAAGACGGCCCCAAGACGCCATGCCATGTTTGAGCGCCCCAAGACGGCCGCAAGAGGGCCCCAAGAGCGCCCCAAGAGGGCCCCAAGAGCGCCCAAGAGCGCCCCAGCGCGCCAAGGCGACCCCAAGACGCCTGAATGTGTCACCCTCCCTTTGTTATGAACAGTGTGCCCCAACTTGCCTCAAGAGGCCTCCCAGACTCCCCAAAGAGTCCCAAGAGGGCCCCTCGACCTCCCAAAAGAAGGCTCCAAGAGGACCCTAAGTGGCTCCGAAATGACCCCGAGACAGACCCAAGATGGATGCAAGAGACCACCGAGAAAACGCTTCCAAGGCGGTTGTTACACTGCATGTTTCTACACGTCCCTGGTCAACGCAACTCGCCTGGCGATCTGTCTCTGGCCTGGCGATCTGTGCCTGGATGGGCTGGTGGGATTACGCAAAGCGACCAGAATTTGAGTTGGGCTAGAACGTCCGAAGGGATTCAAACAGGTGATACGACGGACGGAACAGGGGCGACGAGAATGAAGAAGGGGAAGAGGAAGACGGATGAAACAAGAGGGAGGAGTAGGGGAGGAAACAAGGGGAAGAAAGTAAGAGAATCACATGTGGTAAGGAGAGGAGGAGGACGACAAGGGGTGCAAGCAGGAGGGGGCGAGGGAGGTGAAAGCGAGGAGAGGGATGGAGGAAGCTTGGGGGGGGGGTCTGCCGAGGCGGGAAGCGGTGAAGAGGACAAGAAGTGGGAGGACGGGAAGTGGAGGCGGCAGAGGAAATGGCTAAGGTGGGAGAGCTCCTTGACCTGCTGCGCGAAGTTGCCGAGCGGGCCGCCAGAGAGCAGCTGAAGGTCGAACGTTCCCAGTTTGTTGAGCTTCATGATCTGGGCGAAAACAGCACGATGGGGGAGTGAGAGAGAGGAGGGGGTAAGTGAATAAAGCAAGGAGGAGGGACGAGAAAAACCGGATATGGATGAGAAGGACGAGAGGAAACATATGTAGAGTGGGGAGGACATCCCGCTCCTCAACCTACGCGTCTTCAATTTCCGCCTCCTTCTCCTCGTCGCCCGCCCCTTACACCATTCCTTGTCTTCGTAGTGAATCCCTTTGCCGTATATTGTAACTCCTCCCTTTCGCCCCTCCGGAGGTGTCGGCAGCACGAACCAGGCGCTTCGCTTGAGAGTTCCTCACCATGTATGATGCTGAAGCTTGAAATGTGCAACAACCTCAAAGATGGAGGGCGAGTGGTTTCAAAATGCGGCGCTCGCCTTAACGCCGCAAGCAGTCGTCTGAAAAGCTGCAACAACTTGACGGGTGGTGGGAGGGAAGCGGGGGCGAGTTTCGAAAGGTGGCTCTCGCCTTAGAGCCACGCGCGCATGCGTCTGAAACACCGCAACAGCTTCAAACAATGGAGCTCTGGTTTCAGCGCCGCGCATATTCGATTCAACTGTTTGCAGCGGGGGATCGTGACGGCCTCCTCGGCCCCTCAAAGGGCCTCTCGGCGAATTCGCGGACCATCTTGGCACAGAAGCGTTCGTGGGGCTACTTCTGGAAATAAAACATGCTTGTCATATGTAATTTCCACTCGCAGCAAGCAACGACAACAAACCTGGGGCGACGATGGTGCCCGCAAGATGCACCAACCAGACCCGGAGTCCCGTGAGGGCCAACCTGCGATGCGCGAGCCGACAATTCGTGAAACCTTGGCTTGTGCAGAAACAGATGGCGAGATGCAAAAGGCTCACGGACTGCCTTACCCACTTTCGACACCAAGGAAGTGGGGGGGAAGAAGCGTGAGATCATTTTTTTATTCCGGCCGGTAACGCTCGTTACCCGGGGGGGGGGGGGGGTCGTGCCCCCCGGGTAACGGTAACGCTCGGGCTGGGCGGGGTATGGCGAAGCAGGGGCGCTCTGCGATCGTCATAGTATGCGCGCGAGCAGCACTCTCTGCCTGAGAGCACCACAGTGGCTTGCGATTCGAGTACAAGCGCAAAGCCCGCCGCGCGGTCCCGGCACCACGCCCGCGCCCGCGCGCGCGAGGACGATGATCGAAAAGCGACGAGCGACGAGGTCGACGACGACGACGACGACGACGTTTGCCGCCTGTTTCGGCCTCCGGAGGCCGTTTTCGGGCGCCGTCGACGACGACGACGACGACGACGACGACGACGACGACGACGACGATTCGAGTACAAGCGCAAAGCCCGCAAGCACCAGCATCGCGCATGCGAGCGCCGCAATGGCCTGCGAGCGCCCACAGTGCGCCTGCGACCACCACACCACAGTGCGCATGCCTTCGGGCACCAGCATGTTGGAGGGGAAGACCGAGACCCCCCCCGCGTACGAGCGTTACCGTTACGGGGGGGGGGGGGGGGAGAGAGGCCCGGGTAACGAGCGTTACCCCCCAGAGGATAAAAAAACAATCTCCGTGGAAGCCAAAAAAGAGGGAGGAAAAACTGGGCTGGACTGGACTATGAGTAGCGCTCCGATGTCTCATGCGGGTTTTAACTGCACGCCTAACGCGGTACCTACAACCTGAAGCTGTTCTAGGCCTGTCTGGCGCGTGAAAATCGCCTTTCGCTCCTGCCACGGGTCGTGCGGACGGACACGCACGGAAGCGCTCTGGTCCAGCAGGCGCCAACTGGCGCGCATAAACACGCTTGGGGCCTGGACGATGGCAATATTGAAGCTTTGCTGTACGTCAAAATACGTTGGTGTGCTTTGCAATGCAGTACAATTGCACCACATGTCCGTGCAATAACACCACCAAACACCTACACGAAAGATCAAACGGGAATCAGCAGTCGGCCCAGGCTCTGCAACTAGTTCGAGTGTGCACCCAGGAAGCATGTGTATGTGTGGGTGTGGGTGCGTCCTTCCCACAGGGGAGCCCAGAATCAAATCGATAAGTCGGATCTGCAATCGAAACCAATCGAATCGACGGAAATCGGCAGCCAAGTCGGGAGAAATCGAATCGGCGGAAATCGGCAATATAGTACGCCTCCATCGAAAAATCGGAATCCAAATCCGAATTCGAAGCCGAATCGAATCGGAATCGGAAGCCATCGACATCGAATCGAATCGAATTGGAGGAAACGAAATGGCTCCTGCCTTCCCCCTCTGCCTCTGAGGCCACCCTCCTCTCTTCAAACTGTCTTAAGATGTGCCTGGTGCCCGGCGCGGCTCGCCAGCTCTCCAGACGCCCTTTGCGACCGCCGGCGCGGCCGACACAAATGTACGTGTATTCGTGTGGGTGCGCGACTCCAAGCAGAGTGTGTATGTCGGAAGAAAGCGAGGGCTGGCAAATCCGTGGCTGCTAAAGCGGTCTTCCCAAAGAAAAAACAAAAGCCTGGAATCAAACTCAACGCACTGAATAATAAACGGGATGCTTCCCAGAAGAAAAAAACAATTTCCCAGAGCTCCGTTTTAGCAGCCACGGGCTTGCCAGGTGCTCGCATGGATGCGCAAGAATGCGACTACGCAAGATGCGAACCCGAAGCGCTGCATGCCAAAGAACTCCAGCCGACACACCTCGCCATGACAGGCCAGCCGCACATGTGATGGGACAACACATGGCCGACCCCGCCAGACAGCCATGTTCAGAAAGACGCTCACAGACGCGAAACTCCGCCGTACGCACTCGCACCACATAGGATTTAGATGCATGACGAACTGCCTGGACTGCGGATGACTCTCACCGAGAAGTATCACACCACACTAACCCAGGGCAGCAATTAAGGAACACCCCTGGGTTATCGTTAGCACCGAAACGACAAGAGATAATTCTCGGGGGCGCATTTACCAGAGCGCTACTTTACCACCGCACCAGGCCGCGAAAATATATACGTATTCCCCGACACCCGCGACCGACAGCTTTAACGAGTAAAGATTGACGGTAAGAACGCACGAACCTTGAACGCAGAAGATGGCGAACTGCCACGACCCTAGGAGCTGGCCAGTGAAAACCTCCTTCCCTCCTTCTTGCTCGATTTCTCTTTCTCCTCGCCGCCAATTTCCATGCGATTCCTTTTGCACAACCCAAAGAGAAATGTATGTTCATCGGCCGTGCTACGGTGTCGTCCACCCCAGGGTAACGCACCCGCCCCGCACGGAGCGTTATCTTAGCACCGGGGAGCGCCGAGAATGATTGATTCCTGCCCCCGACTAAGAGGTAGAAGTGATCGTAGTAGTAGCACTAAGTAGACATCGTAGTAGTAGTAGTAGTAGTAGTTGGTAGTAGTAGTAGTAGTAGTAGTAGTAGTAGTAGTAGTAGTAGTAGTAGTAGTAGTAGTAGTAGTAGTAGTAGTAGTAGTAGTAGCAGTAGTAGTAGTAGTAGTAGTCGTCGTCGTCGTCGTCGTAGCAGTTGTAGTAGCAGTAGTAGCACTTGTAGTAGTAGTCGTTGTAGCAGTAACAGTAACAGTAGTAGTGGTAGTAGGTAGTAGGTAGTAGGTAGTAGGTAGTAGGTAGTAGGTAGTAGGTAGTAGGTAGTAGGTAGTAGGTAGTAGGTAGTAGGTAGGTAGTAGTAGGTAGTAGTAGGTAGTAGTAGTAGTAGTAGTAGTAGTAGTAGTAGTAGTAGTAGTAGTAGTAGTAGTAGTAGGAGGAGGAGGAGGAGGAGGAGGAGAAGGTGTCGTAGTAGTAGAAGTCGTCGAGATAATAATAAATTTAAGCATGCCAACAGTGAGGGTCGTACAAGTAGGGGTAGTAGCAGGAAAAACCGCAGTGGTGATAGTAATGATACTTAATCGTAGTAGTAGAAGTAGTCGTACGACTAGTATTACTACTACTACTACTACTACTACTACTACTACTACTACTACTACTACTACTACTACTAGTACTACTAAGACTACTACTACTACTACGACTACTACTACTACTACTACTACTAAAACTAATACTACTACTACTACTACTACTACTAGGAGGAGGACTAGTAGCATTCGTAGTCGTAGTCGTCGTCGTCGTAGTGGTATAGTAGTAGTAGTGGTAGTAGTAGTAGTAGTAGTAGTAGTAGCAGCAGTAGTAGTAGTAGTAGTAGTAGAAGTAGCAGCAGTACTAGTAGTAGTAGTAGTAGTAGTCGTAGTAGTAGTAGTAGTAGTAGTAGTAATAGTGGTGGTGGCCGCAGTCGTAGTAGTAGTAGTAGTAGTAGTAGTAGTCGTAGTAGTAGTAGTAGTAGTAGTTGCTGTGGTAGTATTAGTAGTAGTAGTAAAAGAAGTAGTAATAGTAGTAGTAGTAGTAGTAGTTGTTGTTGTTGTTGTAGTAGTAGTCGTAGGGGTAGTAGTAGTAGTAGTAGTAGTAGTCGTGGTTGTAGTAGTAGTAGTAGTAGTAGCACTAGTAGTAATAGGAGTACTAATAGTAGTAGGTGGTGGTGGTAGTGGTCGTAGTAGTAGTAGTAGTGCTAGATATTAGTAATAGTAGTAGTAGTAGTAGTAGTCGTAGTAGTAGTAGTAGAAGTAGTAGTAGTAGTAGTAGTAGTAGTAGTAGTAGTAGTAGTAGTAGTAGTAGTAGTAGTAGTAGTAGTAGTAGTAGTAGTAGTAGTAGTAGTAGTAGTAGTAGTAGTAGTAGTAGTAGTAGTAGTAGTAGTAGTAGTAGTAGTAGTAGTAGTAGTAGTAGTAGTGGTAGTAGTAGTAGTAGGAGTAGGAGTAGTCGTAGTAGTAGTCGTCGTAGTAGTAGCAGCAGCAGTAGTAGGAGTAGTCGTAGTAGTAGTAGTAGTAGTAGTAGTAGTAGTAGTATCAGTAGTAGTAGTAGTAGTAGTAGTAGTAGTAGTAGTAGTAGTAGGAGTAGTAGTCGTAGTAGTAGTAGGAGTAGTAGCAGCATCAGTAGTAGTGGTGGTGGTAGTAGTCACAAAGTAGCAGTAGTCGCAGTTCTAGTAGTAGAAGTAGTAGTAATAGTAGTAGCAGTAGTAATAGTAATAGCAGTAGTAGAAATACGTAGCCAAATGCTTGAGTCATACTAATTCCCGTCCGTAGCTGACCGGTGGAACTACTAGTAGCAGTACTAGTAGCACGCCTCCCTCCTCCTCCCTCCTCCTCTTCCTCCTCCTCGTCGTCCTCCTCCTCTTCCTTATCATCCTCCTGTCCTCCTCAGCGTGCCAAGAGAACGCTTCCGGGTGCTAGATGCGTTATCGTTTCGACGGAAGGTGGAGTCCTGAATTGCTGGCCTGGGATAATGAACCCTGCCAACAGGACGGTACACACCACAGCGAGAGCAAGGGGGGAGCTGCAGCAAGGCCCAGGACCCCGCTGTCAGTGCCCACCGTGGTGCTCACTGAGGCCGCGGGGACGTCATCGGCCCGCGCGCCACATCCCCGCAAGGCGCAAATCCCGCTGGGGCCTCGGGCATCGACGGGAAGCACAAGCACGCGTCCAGGGAATCTCGGCGAGGCTCCACGATGGCAGCGAGCTTCTCCGCGAGCTCCTGCAGGACGACCAGACCGAGGAAGACGACGACGACGAAGACGACGAAGACGACGACGACGACGACGACCACCACCACCACCACCACCACCACCACCACCACCACGACCACGACGACGACGAAGACGAAGATAACTGACAACGACGAGGATAAGAACCAGGTGGGCGAAGACGAGGGCGACGACACTGGGGACGGGAACGAGGACCCGCGAGGACGACCAGGACGACGACCACGGCGACTGAGGGGACCGACACGGTGCGCGCAGGCCGATCGCCCGGGAGGCGTCGCGGGGTGCGCCACCGACAGCGCGGGCGCAGGGGGGGGGGCCTGCGCTCGGCCCCCCAGCCGGGGCGCGGCGTGGGGGGGCGGCGGGCGCGAGGCGCCGTGCGCGCGGGGTGCGCGGCGCGCGGGGGGCACGGCGCCCGGGGAGCCGGAGAGGAGGGGGGGAAGCGACGCTTCGAGATGTGGCCAGGCCTCTCCCTTGGCCCCAAGGGGCCTCCACAGGCCCCGGGGGAGAGGAGGGAGGAGCGCGGACGTTGCTGTCCCGCTCTTCCTCCGGCCCTCCTGGTGGTCAGTGCTACAGTGGGGGCCCGACCACAAGAAACCTTCCACAAGAAACCCAACCCTGAGACCCCAGGACGTCCAGTGATTTTTGGTGTGGGAGCGCCACGCCTTCCATGGCAAAACCATCGAAACCCACGAAACCCAGGGGGACCCTGGAGGCAAGCAGGGTGCTTCTTGGCATGGCATGGGTCCCCTCTGTACCGCGGCCCAGATCCGCCTCGAGATCCTGGTCACGCCGCGCCCCTGGACGCGCCACCACCGCCGCGCCATCAGCATCCGCGGCGCCACCAGCACCCGCGGCGCCACCAGCACGCGCCACCGCCGCGCCCTCCCAGCTGGGCCCCCGGGCCTCCTGGGCCGGCTCCTGGCCCGGCTGGGAGCCGAGGCCCGTGGGCCTGCTGGGGGGCCTGCAGAGGCCCGGCGATGCTGGATACAGTGGAAGCCCATGCCAAGAAGCACCCTGCTTTCCTCCAGGTGGGCGCTTTGTTATTCGGCGTTTCGACATTGGGCGGAAGGGGGGGAGGGGGGGGGCGTCTGGCTCCGGACCTCTGCTCAGTGCGACTGTTTGGGACCGTGCGTCCTATGGGGGGGACTCCACGAAATGGGTGCCACAAGCTGCCAACATGGGATTGCGAGGGCCCGCGCCAATCGGCAAAAGAATTGATAAAAACGCTCACTCGGGTTTCGATGGTTTTGCTATGGAATGGAAGGCGTGACGCTCCCACAACAGAAATCAATAGCGTCCTGAGGTCTCAGGGTTGGGTTTCTTGTGGCAGGGTTCTTGTGGTCGACCTCCTAGTGTAATCCCGCCCCCTCGCGGACGCCCCTGTGAGCCTGATTGACAGGGGGCCTGCAGAGGCCCGGTGATGCTGGACACCCATCGGTCGGAAGAAGTAGGTAGACACATGAAGTAGAAAGGCGCTGACAGCAGGTTGGGTGCCCGCCCGCCCCCGAAAGAGGACGGAAAAGGGGAAGCCACTCGATCGTTGAAGTAGGAAGGCGCTAAAAACAAAACTTGAATCTGGGAGCTCAGAAACACCGCGCGCACGGGACGCCCCTCCCTCGCGCGGAGCCAGGAGCCAGGCGGCCCGGAGCCAGGCGGCCTGGCGGCGGCGCGCACCAGGAGGAGGAGGAGGAGGAGGAGGAGGAGGAGGAGGAGGAGGAGGAGGAGGAGGAGGAGGAGGAGGAGGAGGAGGAGGGAGGAGGAGGAGGAGGAGGAGGAGGAGGACGAGGGAGGGAGGGAGGGGCGCCCCCTCGCGGACACGCGCCACGCACCGCGCGCACAGGGCCGCCGGCGAGCCCTGGCCCGGGGCGCAGACCCCCGAGCGGAGCAGCACACACGAGAAGCGCACGTCGACCTGCCTGCAGACAGCACGCTGGGCTCGAGCAGCGCACCAGGCACGAAGGATTGCAAAGGATTGCAAAAAAAACCGAAGGATTGCAAAAAAACCCGAAGGGTTTTTCTGCAATCCTTTGCAATGCGGGTTTTTTTTGCAATCCTTCGGTTTTTTTGCAGCCAGGGCGAGGGATGGATACGGAAAACGTCGGGCCAAGCCTGGCTGGGAGCCCCGCCGAACCCGACCGGGAAACAACAGGAAGCGCCGCGTTTGTTTGCCCACCCAGTTCGAAAGACGGAGGAAAATAAAGGGAGAGGAGGACGACAAGTAGGCGGGTGTGAGGAGGACAGGGTGGAGGACCAGGAGGAATCCGATGAGGACGACAAGCACGAGGGGGCGACGAGGATGAAGACGAGGAGGACGAGCACGAGAAGGAGGAGGACGACAAGATCGACGAGGAGAGGCAGGATGACGGCAGCGTAGAAGACGAGAGGACGGAGTGCACGAGGAGGCGGAGAGACAGGAGGGACGATGAGGACGAGGAGGACGAGGCTCTCGCGAAGGAGAAAAACGACGAGGAAGGCGAGTAGGAGAAAGCGGGAAAGGGCCGGCACTGGGGGCAAATGAGGAAGCGCATGCAAAGTACATCTTGGTGCAAACACTGTTCGGGGAACCAAGAGCAAAGATATCAGGGCCGTGGACCACCTCTGCGTAACTTCCTGGGACGTTCGAGCAACCACTGACTGGAAGCAAGCTCTACCTACCAAGCCCCCTGGCGGAAGCGTTGGCCGCGCGCCCCCCGCAGCCTGCACGAAGATGAGGGAGCCTCGGTTGCAGGTGCCTATCGAAAGGTGGCCCCCTCCCCCGATCGCCATGCCGCGCCATCAGTCAGATCATCACGCAATGGCTGCACAGTGAAGCAGCTAATCGCCCATAATGGGGCCCTTCAGCTGAAAAGTAATGTGCATGCCTCGCTATGAACTGAGCATACACGTGTGTTCTGGACTCTTGGCGAAAGATGGACGTCAACAACACAAATATGCACACACACAAGTTAACACCTACACTGTGTTCAGAAAGTGCCTGAATAGATAGACCCTATTCCTTCGCCTCTGCCTTCTCCTCCTCCTCCTCATCATCATCAGCATCAGCATCAGCATCAGCATCATCATCATCATCATCATCATCATCATCATCATCATCATCATCCTCGTCGTCGTCGTCGGCATCGATATCATCATCATCATCATCATCATCATCATCAGCAGCAGCATCATCATCATCAACATAATCATCCTCATCCTCATCCTTATACGATTCCTCATAATTACCGCTTCGCGTTTTCCACCTGCTCATCCTCATCCATTTCATTCACACATGTACTTATCCTCCCCATCCTCATGATAGTAATCCTCTCATCAGTGTCATCATCGAAATCAGCATCATCAGCATCAGCATCATCATCAGCAGCATCAGCATGATTATCACCATCACCACCACAACCATATAATTCGTCATCATCGTCCTCATCAGCATCAGCATCATCAGTACCCTCATCATCCTCGTCAGCACCATCATTATCATCATCACCAACACCACCACAAACCCATCATCGGCATCATCATCACCACCTGCATCATCCTCAGAAAAATAATAGCAATAAGCATCGCAATAATCAGCATCAGCATCATCATCGCCATCATCAGCATCAGCAGCAGCACCATCAGAAGCATCAGCATGCTCAGCAGTATCAGCATCAGCATCATCATCGTAACAATTATCAGCATCAACATCATAATCAGCGTCAGCATCAGCATCATAGACCCTATTCCTTCGCCTCTGCCTTCTCCTCCTCCTCCTCATCATCATCATCAGCATCAGCATCAGCATCAGCATCAGCATCAGCATCATCATCATCATCATCATCATCATCATCATCATCCTCGTCGTCGTCGGCATCGATATCATCATCATCATCATCAGCAGCAGCAGCATCATCATCATCAACATAATCATCCTCATCCTCATCCGTATACGATTCCTCATAATTACCGCTTCGCGTTTTCCACCTGCTCATCCTCATCCATTTCATTCACACATGTACTTATCCTCCCCATCCTCATGATAGTAATCCTCTCATCAGTGTCATCATCGAAATCAGCATCATCAGCATCAGCATCATCATCAGCAGCATCAGCATGATTATCACCATCACCACCACAACCATATAATTCGTCATCATCGTCCTCATCAGCATCAGCATCATCAGTACCCTCATCATCCTCGTCAGCACCATCATTATCATCATCACCAACACCACCACAAACCCATCATCGGCATCATCATCACCACCTGCATCATCCTCAGAAAAATAATAGCAATAAGCATCGCAATAATCAGCATCTGCATCATCATCGCCATCATCAGCATCAGCAGCAGCACCATCAGAAGCATCAGCATGCTCAGCAGCATCAGCATCAGCATCATCATCGTAACAATTATCAGCATCAACATCATAATCAGCGTCAGCATCAGCATCATCATCATCAGCATCATCAGCAGCATCAGCATCATCACCACAACCATCATCATCAGAAACAACAGCAACAACATCTGCCCCATTATCAACAAAAGATACTCTCTTGACGCGAACAAATTACAGCATGCGCTCTTGCATGTCCTCTTCCTCTTCCGCCAGGGGGGTGCCCATCCCCCTACCCCACGCCACAAGGCTTGCGCCCACGCCTAATTAGCCATGCGAAGAGAATGCTTGACTGCCTTTTGGGATGGATTTGTTGTCCATTTGGGGCCTGTGTCTTGCAGAGTTCTTGGGACGTCTTGGGATTCCTTGGGGCCTCTTGGTGACGGAACGACGGTTGGCTACAGCGACCAGATCTGAATGTGGTGGGGGCTATTTTGGTGCAGTACTTGGACGTAGTGGGGGCCTAGGTGCTTCGCGGCCTGGAACAATTTCAGGGAACCCCATGGCAGCCCGAGAGAACCCCAGGAGGCTCCCGTTAAAGGCCCAATATGGCCACAGGAGGGCCTCTACAGGGCATGGGGGCACTGTTGGAGAAACTCCGAACGGCCGAACAAACGGCGCAAGGGGAAATCGCAGAGGAGGCGCGGGAGGGGGGGTCCCAGGAGGAGACCTGGGGCGATCGGGCCAAGGCGGGCGATCTTGAAGCCATCTGCGACAACTCGGTGCCTACTGAAGTCATGTTCGGGTCAACTCGGCCCACCTCCAGGCCACTGGGGCCGACTTCGGCACACCGCCATTTGGGACCAACCTGGGCCACCATGATTCCCACTGCCCTCTTGCTGCTCTTCTGTCGCCCTCTGTTCACGCGCCCTCTTGGCCCTGTTCATCCTGGTGGCCTTTGATTCTAGTCCCCCCGCTCGCATTCCTACCACAGTCCTCCCGTGCTTTGTTTCGCTTGTGTCGTTGCAATGACAGCGGATGCACGAGCACCATGGCACGTTACGACGAAAGGTGCGCACAAGCTTCACCGATCACGCCGGCCCCTGTGCGCTCTCACCCCGCGAAGCGGCCGCAACCGCGACGAAGAAGGGGGCGGCAGCGGGCGACAGTCCAATGGATGAAAGAATCTGCGACAGGCCACCACCGTTTCATCAACACGGCAACGAATAACCAATCTTGGAGGAGGGTGCGACGGCACCCTGGAAAGCAGGGGGGGCGATGTGAGGACGACCTGCTGGCGCACGCATTCCCAAGCATCCCCTTTTGGCACGGCTGGCCGAGAGTGGGGACGCGAGGAATTTCCGAACGCGGGGAGGGTCTAACAAATCCAGGGCCTGCGATGGGAGACGCTTCGATATTAGAAACAGAGAGCCACAGAGGATTGCTGAAACTGCTGGCGAGACAGAGAGGTTCGTTTCCGTAGAATTCTGGCTGGCTTCGAGCATCGCAGGACCAACGGGACCAACGCTCGACTGAGCCACCTGCCGCGAACTTGGAGCCTATCAGCATCACCGTTGGAAAAAATTGGTCGTGAATCGACCCGGTATGACGAAAGACGTGGGGCGTGAGCGAGAGCTCATCAAAAAACTGGGTTTTGCAAAACGGTCGGCGCATCTGTTCTAAGTCTCGACCAACTGGGGAAACCCACTGCCTACCACTGGCCCATTACCACCGTAGGTGCATCACACTGAAACCTCGTTGCCGGGACATCCTGAAGAGGCGGGCGCAACTGCGACAACAACGGGCGCCTGTGCGCCTGGGCAAAGAAAGGAGATCTGCAGCAAGCGCCAAGGCGTCACTGTGCCTCAGGTGGCAGTCCACCGCTATCCAGGTCGCGGCCGACGCCCCCGCCGCGGTCGACCCAGATCTGGGCGGACAGACAGAAGCCGCGCAGCGCCGCCAGAGTCAGGGGCTGGGCCGTGGGCGACCGCGCAGGCAACCCCAGGAGGTGCTCGGACCCGCGCCGGTCCGGTCGCCTCGGAGGAACAGCAGGTCCAAGGAGCGGTCGAGCACGGCACCCCAGCCACGCGCCGAGTCGGGCACCAGGCCGCGCAGCTGCCCCCAGGCCTCCACGACGAAAGAAGCCCGGCGGCAGGCAGATGCCGCAGCAAGCCAGTCCGACGCCCGACGGCAGACACCGGCCTCGCCGCCGCGGTGGCGCTCAGGGGCGGCGGCACGTCGCCGACGCTCTCGTCGCAGCTCGGCGGGCTCGGCGATGGGCGGCAATCTTCTGGAGCTCGATGGCCCAGCCCCGCCCTAACGAACGGCCGCCCCCTCTCCATCGAGTCCGACCCGCGCGGCGGCCGCTAGACGTCGCCCCCAGCGGCCGTCGAGGAGGGCCTCGCGGGGGCGGCGCCAGGCGCGCGGCGGGGCGACGTCCCCGAGCACCTCTGCCAGAGCATGGCATTGCTCCAGAGGGTAAGCCGCAGCGCGGGCGGCGCGCCACCGCGGTCGCTCGCCGGGCAGCCGCGCCTCGCCCTGGGGGTGGACGCGCGGCGCGCCGCAGCAAGGACACCTGCGGGCGAGGGCGTCAGCCCCAGGCAGCGCCGCGGCGAGCGCCGCGGGCTGCTTCCTGTCAGCGCCGAAGGCACACGTGATGAGGGCGAGACGCACTGCGCCGACCTCGCGCGAGTCGGGGGGCGCCCGCAAGGCGGCCCCAGACAGCCGCTGATCAGGGCGCAGCCGCCCGGCGCGGGCGAGCCGCGAGTCTGTCGGACGGGGCCCGGTCGGTCTCAAGGCGGCGCCTGCGACATTTGAGCCCGCCAGCCAGCGGAGCCGCGGCCGGGCGGCGCGCGAGGCCAAGCAGCCCGGCGCCCCGGGCTCGCCCACGGTCGAAGACCAGACGCCCACAAGGTTGCCCCCGAAGCTGAGGAGGATGGCCACGGGAGTCCGGCAGCTTCGGCTCGCGGCGCAGGCCGACGAAGGCAGCTCGAGCCCCCCCTGGACGGCGGCCCGGCGCTTCCAGCGCCCCACCAGTGGACTTCGCCGACGCCGCGCCGTGGCTCCGCGAACAGCTCGAGCTGAATATCAGCGCGAGCCAGGTGGCCTCGCGCAGCGCCCTCGGCTGCTTCCGCGGCCGTTGGTCGCCAGGCTGGAGGTCGCGGCCGCGGTCGTCGACGGCCCACTGCAGCGCCGCGCTCATCTCCTGGCCCACCCAGCCCGAGAAGGAGCCACTCGCGGGAACCAGCGCGGCGGCGGCCCCGCGCGCGGCGTCGCCGCAGCAGCAGCGGCGGGGGGGCATCGGCGCCGCCACGCCCGCGCGCGCGCGATGTGCAGGAGCCCGCGCGCCGCCGCGAGCGCATCCAGCACCGCGGGCGGCAGCGGGGCCACTTCGCCACCCCCAGAGCCAGCGAAGCGGCGCGCCTCGCCAAGACAGGCAAGGGCGCACCGACGCAAGCTGAAATGGCGCACGAGATGGCCGAGGAGCTGCCGCACGCGGCCCTGGACGACCTGCGGCGGCCGACCTCGCCCAGCGCGAACCAGAGGCGCCGGGGGCGGGCGGGCATCTGCCGCGCCCAGCGCCGCGCGCCGTCGAAGCGCAAGCAGATCACCGCAAAGTCCCGCGCCAGGCTGGCCGGCTCGTGGAGCGCGAAGCCAGTTCGCTCGTGGTCGTCGACCACCTGCTGGCGCAGCGCAGCGACCGTCTCTCGGTCCGACCCCAGCACGTTCGCTTTGTCCACGCACGGAGCGCACGCGGCGACACCCCGCGCCAGCAGCAACAGTGGCTGCTGGTCGCCGACAAGCACGGCCGGCAAGCCCGCAGACATCTGCGCTCGGCGGCACTTCGCTGACAGGGCGCTGCGGCAGATGTACAACACCCAGGCCCAGCCCATTAGCAACCCGCCGAAGCCCGCCCCCAGCGCGGTGTCTGGCGAGACCAGCACCTCGTGGTTCACCTCGGGGTAGCAGAAAGAAGCGACACCCACCGCGTTGGCAAGTCACACATGCCCCCGCCCGAAACAGCGCGAGACCGCCGCCGCCGGGAAACGGCAGAAACAACCCGAGAAGTCGATCGACGCCCCCGTAGCGAGGGCGTCGCGTCATCCAAGAAGTCTGCGTCATCCGCGCCCAGCACCAGCGAAGCTACAGCACCATTGGTGGCCAGGCACGATTGCGGCGCCCGCCCACGGAGCGCGCCGGCACGGCGACAGCCCAGCACAATGCGCAACGTGCCCGTCTTCTCTCTCGCGCAGAAGATGTCGCCCTATAGAGCACGCCGCCTCGCGGCACGTGACCAGGCGCGCGCGCCCCAGCTTGCCGAGCTGCTCGTCGAGCAGACGCGGACTGCAGGTTGGCCGCGCCCTGCGGCGCGAACCCGCCCCGCGTGACCGCGAGCTTCGCGCCGTCATCGGGCGCGACAAGAATCTCGACGAGCGCTCCGTCTGGGTAGAACTCGATCTCGTCGGGCTCCAGGCGCCGCCAGACGGCCAACAGGCTCTGGGGCGGCCGGCAGCCAAGCGGGCGGCGGCCAAATCTCTGCGGCGGCGGGAGACCCCTGGCCCGGGCGCCGGCCGAGGCGTTGAACGAGGCCGCAACGGGGCCGCCAGCTCGCGGGCGCCGGAGGCCAGCGGCCCGAGCTCGTCAGCGACGACGACCGACCGTCGACCCCCCGCCCCAGGCGGTAGAACGAAACGAGAAAGGGGGAAAGAAAGAAAATACACACACACACACACACACACACACACACACACACACACGAAGGCGAGCAGGCGCCAATCAGTCACGCTCCGAGCTCGCTTCAGCGCGAACGCCTCCGCCTCCTGCTCCTCCGCAATGAACTTCGCGCATTCGCGCATTCACCCGTCGGGCAAGGCGCGTCCTCGTCCGGGCGGCTGGTCAGCATCGCCCCCCGCCCGCGGACGTCGGGGGCCCACGGGTGTCACGGCGGGCGCCGCACTCCAAAGACAGCACCCGCCGCGCCGGCGCCTACCCCCGCAAGCTCGCAGGCGCCCGCCTGGACGAAGCAGGCCAGGTAGCGCAACGCCGCCGCATGGCGGCGGGCGACGGCGCTGTCCTTGACCACACCTGACCCGCGCAGCCAGCGCTCGCGGCGCGCTGAGACATCCCCCCTCTGGCCCGAAAGTTCGCCAAGAGTTCCAGGGCCTCCGATCGGGGCGCCGCACGGGCCAGTCGTCGGCGCTGCTGCGCGCCCCAGAGGATCCAGCGGCACCAGCGGCAGGCGCACGGCGCTCTTTCTTTCATCTCCGCGAGCGCCTTGCGGAAACTAAAAATCGTTGGTTCCGAGAGTCGCGCTCGATCGCCAGCGCGCGGGGGTCGCGGCCTGCGCCAGAGAATTTCTCCTCGCGCTGCGCGCTGAGGTCGGCCGCCTGCACGCGCCCCACCGCCCTCCCGCGGTCGCCCTCGATGCGCGCCATGCCGGACGAGCCCTCCTGCACGAACTCGACCGGGTTCGACACGATGCCGTTCGCCACCAAATGGCCGAAGGTCTCCGAGCCTGGATCGGCCACGACCCACGGGGCCTGCACGCTGCCCTGGGCTGGAGCCACGCCGCCAGGAAGGCCCGCGTGAGTCGTCGCCTGGCGCTGGAGCTCCGTCAACTCGTCCTCGGTCACGGGATCGAGAATATACACGTTCAGGCGGACTTGAGCTGGGACAGGGCAAACTCGGACGCACGGGACGACCTGAACACAGCGAGGTCGACGACCTGCACCGCGTGGGTAAGGGTCACGCACGCCCATGTCGCACCACCTGTAAGCTTCGCCAAGAGGACACGGTGGTGCCACCTGAAGTTCGGGTCGCGGTCGTAGTTCGCAACCACCTGGGGAAGCCCGATGTCCAAGGCGACCTGTCGAACGGCCGCCATCACGCCCTGCGGCTGCGCGGCCGCCAGATGTCAACCTCCGTCGGCGTCCCCGTGCCCGAAGGACGTGGCGAGCTCGGAGCCGGCAGAGCCACAGGGCTACTCAGTAACAGCGCGAAGACAAATATCAGGCTCCCGCGGCGCGAAGACGCGGGCAGGGCCCTCGCGCGCGGGCCCCAAGGAAACCGAGCGCGCCGAGGAGGAGGGTGCCGAGGCCCAACCAGGCGCCTGGCCTTCAGCCTGCGGGGCAGGCCGGCGCCACCAACACCGGGCACGCCGGGGTGCCCGGCGCGGCGCAGCCCGGGCAGGCAGGGCACACGCAGGAGGGGCAGGGTGCCCCCTGCACGTGCAAGGCCGACTCGACTCCGCCGGGTCGGTGGCCGGCCACGCCGGCGCCAGGGCCCCCAGCAAGGAGCCCGCGAATGCGGCCGAGGGCCTGGTGAGAGGGCCCGTGCGAAGCATAAAAACCTGGCTTGGCTCGCCGAGCCAAAGCAGCTTGAGCCAAAATGTATAAACGTCGGAGGCGCTTACGAAGATGAAGTGATACTGTGGCACTTCAATCATGTGAAACGCCTGGGGGAACAGTCTGAGACAGCGCAACAAGTATCATCATGATGATCCTCATCATCATCATCATCATCATCATCATCATCAGCAGCAGCAGCATTATCATCAGCATCAGGATCATCGTCATCATCGTCATCATCATCAATGTCATCGTCGTCATCAGCATCAGCAGTATCATCAGCATAAGCATTAGCATTAGCATTAGCATTAGCATTAGCATTAGCATTAGCATTAGCATTAGCATTAGCATTAGCATCATCATCATCATCATCATCATCATCATCCTCATCCTCATCATCATCATCATCAGCATCATCATCATCATCATCATCATCATCATCATCATCATTATCATCATCATCATCATCATCATCATCGCCATTGCCTTCATTGCCTTCATCAGGGGCATCGTCACAATATTCGTCGGAAAGGCCCGTCATCGTCAGCATCAGCATGACCATTCGGACTCGTAACCAGCATGGCACGTGTGTCGGTATGATACTCCAGGTCCCTTCACGCGGTCTCTACCTCCCTCACTAGGCAGCCCTTCTCTCGTCTTCCTCGTCCGCCGCCTCTCCGCTCTCTTCATCTTCCTCCTCCTCCACCGCCTCCTCCTCCTCCCCCCTCCTGATCCTTCTCCTCTGCCGTCCTTCTCCTGCACCTCATGTTCCTCCCCGCCCCGCCCTCCCGCCCGTCGCCCGCCGACCCTCCAGCCCTTACGCAATCAATGTCCAGTCGGAGCGTCGACCTGAGGAACCCTAATATGAGGAACGAGGCCCCCTTTTGTCCATAAGTGAAGCCCCGATTCCCCATCGAAAACGTAAGGAAAACCTGGGGCAGACTGCGAGACAATCAAGGAACACGGAGCCCCTCCCCAACGGGAAGGGTTCCTCCTTCAGCGTCCCGACTGCATCGCTCCCCATCCGATCACCGAGCGCCGCTGAGGAGGTGGCAAATGAAGATGTTGGCGTCCTCCAGGTCCTTCCGCAGCTCCTCCTGTGCCACGGGCGGGGCGGAGGCACGCGGAGGCACCAGAGCAGAGGGAGTCTGGGGCGAGAAGGGTCAGGCTTAGGTCGGGCCGCGTCCTCCTACAGGACGATGTTGCACAAATAATAGAAAATAGTAAAACCAAGAACAACAATACTCAAACAAATAATCGAAAAAAACGTGCCCTGACTATTGTTTGACTGTTTTTGAACATTCCTCCTGTAGAGTTAGGTCGGGCGTGTCCCCGTACAGGCTTTTTGGACGAAAAAATATACACGAAATGCAAACAACAAATGCTCCAACATGTTCCCAACAATTAGTTGACTATTTTTGAATATTCCCCCTGTAGACGGACACGCCCGACTTAAGGGTAGGCAGGGGGCAGAGGGACAGGGAAGGCTTGACGCGGGGAGGGTAGAGGAAGAGGAGGGGAGGGGCAGAGGGAAAGGAAGTCCTCTCCCTACACCGCTCTGGTAGATCCCGGGAGCCTCTGGAAGCCTTCGAGAACATCCGGAAACAGCCCAAATCCGCCTGAGCATCCCGAACAGTTCAAAGCATCGCAACGCCATTCGAACACCTGCCCCTCCTCCTTTTCCTCCTCGTCATCATCAGCATCATCAGCATCATCATCATCATCATCATCATCATCATCATCATCATCATCATCATCATCATCATCACCATCATCATATCAGCAGCATCATCAGCAGCATCGTCATCACCATCATCACCATCATCACCATCATCACCAGCATCGCCATCACCATCATCACAACCATCACCATCATCATCATCATCATCATCATCATCATCATCATCATCCTCATCCTCATCCTCATCCTCATCCTCATCCTCATCCATCATCATCATCATCATCATCATCATCATCATCATCATCATCATCATCATCATCATCATCATCATCATCATCATCATCATCATCATCATCATCATCATCATCATCAGCATCATCAGCATCATCATCATCAGCAGCAGCATCAGCATCAGCATCCGCATCCTCTTCCTGCCCCCTCCGCCTGCCAGCGGTGCAAAGGCGTGCGAGATATCTGGCTGTCCCCCTCCCCCGATCCCACTCCCCTTGGGGCCCAAATCACGCTGGACGGAAGAGCGGAGCGGAGCGGAGCGGAGCGGAGCGGCGGAGCGGAGCGGCGCCGATGTCGCCCAGAGGGCGTCCCGTGTAGGGAACGGCGGGTGCGCCGGGGCGCCTCAATTCTGAGCTCGGAACTCGGCCGAGATTGGAAACTATAGGGAGCTGGAGTCGGAAACTTGGGAGCTGGACCGAGGGGGGGGGGGGGCGGAACTCGTCAGGGCTCCTCCCGTGGGGCCCTCGAAGCCTCCAAATCCGTCGCCTCCACGATCCCGAAGATGCCCTCCAAGATGGATCAAGAGGGGCTCCAACGAGCCAGAGAGGCCTCCACGGCATCCAGGATGGCGCCAGGACGGCCGAAGAGGCCCCGAAGACACCCAAGGAGGGCCCCATGAGGATCCGCAAGACGGCCTCAACAGGCACAACAAAAAATTGAAGGGTATTCGAATTCTTGCTGTCAGCGGTTCTGAAAAGCCCGAGACACTCAGAGAATCCCTCAGCCCGCCAAAAGGAGGCCCCCAAGAGGGCCCCGAGATTGCTTAAGAGGGGCTCAACACTGCCCAAGAGGCCCCTCAAAACAATCAAAAAAGCTTTCCAGAGGGCCCAAAAAGGGCAAGAGAGGCCCCAAATGGTAAACCCGGAGGGACCCTCTCCCAAACCCCGAGGCGCCCAACCTGCCCCCAAGAAGAGGCCCCCCAGAAAGCCCCACGGGGATCCAAAACGCCATCGGGAGCCCTGAAACTGCTTCTCAGAGGCCTCCCCCGAGGCTCTGGCTTCCAAGACTGGCCAAACTTCGGCCCAAAGTCTGGCCACATAGGCGTCTCCACGACGCAAGGGGCGACGGTGGCTCTACGTAGGCGTCTTTGGGCCGCCGCCCCCGACGGCTTCGGCCTATCACGGCGATCGCGCCCGCCACCGCGACCCCAAACCCGGCAAACACCTCCGAGATGGCTTTGATGCCCCGAGACGGCGTCCAAGAAGTCCCAAACGGCCCAAACGGCCTCCAGGCGACCACGACCCAAGGAGCCCACGACGACGGCCACGGGCTGGGGGGGCGGCGATGGCTCGCCGCAGGCGCATTCGGTTCCCGAAAGTGCCCACAACCCCCGAAAACCTCTCGTCGGCATCCGACGTACTGTCTACTCCTCCTCTTGGCCCTCCTCCTGCTCCCCCTGATGCTCCTGCCCCGTCCTACGCATCCACCTCCTCCCCCGACTATTTATTCCTCCTCCTCCTCCTCCTCCTCCTCCTCCCCCTCCTTTTACTTTTACGTATTCATCATTACCCTCCTCCTACAACTCAGTGTCACCATCCCTCCTCATCATCACTTCCCTCATCACCACCAATCAGAATCACTACCACCATCATCCCCCCTCCTCCTCGGGGGGAAGGGCGACAAGCAGTCAACAACTGACGATCCGGAGAGATAGACGACAGCGCTGAACGCGTCTCAAGTCAGGAAATCAAAACGGCATGCCAGGACGAGTAGGAACGAGATCTCGATCAGAGGGAACCTGCCCCAAACAGGAGCACAATGGCGTGCCAAAGGTCTTCGGCACGTGCCCAAAAACATCGGGGGCGGCAGAAGAGGAACAGACAGGGGAACACAAGGGCAGACGCGTCAACGACAGAGCTGACGGGGAGGGCGGGCAGCCACTCTCCTGGATGCTCTCGTCGCGGAGCTCCTCCAGCAGGTACCCCACGCACTCCGCGCAGACGACCTCGCGAGGGCGGCCCCGCGACGGACATCACCCACGATCCCTTCTCGCTCCTCAATCCTTCTCCACCTCAAGCACCCGCATCCAGCACCCCTCCCTACTCATCCCTTCGCCTCCTCCAATTCCCCCTCATTCCCGTCGCCGCCCAACGTTTCCAATTCAGGCTCGCCCAAAAAACTTCGTAACCTACCCCTCCTCCTCCTCCTCCTCCTCCTCCTCCTCCTCCTCCTCCTCCTCCTCCTCCTCCTCCTCCTCCTCCCCATCGATTCTATTATATAGCTGCCAGCATCCACCATCAGCGCCCCAACACCCCACCACCATCATCAGCGTCATCGCCGCCACCATCAGCACCATCGTCATCAGCAGCAGCATCGTTACCAGATACGCTCACAACCATCATCACCACCACCATCACCGCCACCTACACGAATATCATAATCATCATCATCATCGGCATCATCAGCAGCAGCATCATCATCATCGTCATCATCATAATCATCAGCCTCAGCTTGAGCATCAGCAGCAGCATCATGATCATCATCATCAACAACATCATTATCATCATCATCATCATCATCATCATCATCGTCATCATCATCATCATCATCATCATCATCATCATCATCATCATCATCATCATCAGCATCATCATCATCCTCACCATCATCAGCATCATCATCGACATATATCCCCACGGGCATGGTCAGCATCGTCACCGGCGTCAACCTCTGTAACGCCCTCTATCGTCCATTGCTCAAGCCTCTGGCGCATTCCTACGCATTACGGGCACGACTGTCACGGACACGCTGCGCCAGGTGAAACGCGGCAGCGGGCATCGCAAGTCGTCTTCCGAGTGTTGCACCAGGAGCCTTTGCGAAGCGGAACGCCCGCTTGCGCGGGCACTGGTGCGCGCAAGACTCGCGGCCCGAGGACAGCTGTGGGCCCCCGTGGAAGCCAGCTTGCGCCACATCCCATCCAACGTTATTGGAGAGCACTGCATTGCGATGATGCGACGGTTGCTCAATGGCGAACTCATCAGACATCGCCTGCAGCCTGTCCATCACCATGAGATCGGCGAGTGCCCCTTCTGCCAGGAGCCGTCTGGTGACCCTGTGGCGCATCGGGACCGTTGCCCAGAGCTGCGCGGCGTGCGGGAGGGGCTCTCACCCAAGCACGGTGCTTTGACAACGGCGCAGCTGTGGCTTCAGGAGGTGACCAATGGAAGTGGGCAGCTTCGATTGGCTTCTTGCAGCATGGTCGTTCGCTGCAGCGGTTGCTGCTGTCCGGGCTCTCTTTCTTTTCGCCGAACGATCTGCAAATGCACGCTCCTCGCAGAAGTTGCCAGGACCCCTGGGACACTGGCAACAATGTCAGCCTTACAAGAAAGGATCGCCGCTCCAGAGCCCGGCAGGCTACGTCGTTCCCAGAAGGTTGTGACGCTTGCGTTTCCGACGGCGCTGCATGCAACCAGGGTTCTGGTGGACAACGAGACTCTTCGTGCGGGAACGTCGGATATCGCGCAGGCAGCCGTGAACTCGTGGCTGCGTACGGCGTTGCGCTGGCAGATGCCACCAACAATCGTGCAGAATATGCTGCACTCCGCCGCGAGATGTGCGCTTCCACGTCGATTCTCTGCTCGTGGCCAAGACGGCGAACTGCCAGTGGAGGTGACTCTTGCGAAGAAGCCCTGTCACTTCTCGCACAGCTGCAAAGGACTTCCGCTGTTCGTGGGCTCGTCAAACTACACGCTTATCGCTAGTTTAAATATGGCGCAGATGGCGTGCGCAACTGCGTTTTGGATTCGGCCGCCGCAAGCGTTCTGGCAGACGCAGAAGGATGGTTTGTTGAGGTCAACTGGGAGCCCTTCGGGCGAACCGCTCTGTTCTCCTCCCACGTGGTCGTTCGTGCGGCCTCCCCCCTCTCCTCCTCTTGCCCTCTCCCCCCTCGTCTGGCGGGGCTCTTCCTCTCATGTCGCTAATGCCTCACCACCACTGCCGGCGCTTGCCCACACCGCTGCACCAGCGCCACGTATATTCGCACGTCTCCGTAGCTTGATACGAATTCGTTTTTGACGCTGTCGGTGTGACCTTGAAGAGACTTCTTTATCGTTCAAGCTGGATTCGGGCGCCGCCTCCAAGAGGTTTTCCGTGACTGATCAAATAACTTGGCACGGAGCGGACGACTTGTTCACTCGGTTAGGGTGGTTTCGTTGAGACCCGGGCAGGGGCCAGCCGAGAACGTACCAGCCAAACATGCCCGCGAGCATTGCTTCAATGGGAAAAGCACCGCGCCACCATCATCATCATCATCATCATCATCACCATCATCATAATCAGCAGAATCATCATCATCATCATCATCATCATCATCATCATCATCATCATCATCATCATCATCATCATCATCATCATCATCATCATCATCATCATCCACATCATCATCAACATCACCATCATCACCATTATCACCTTCACAATCGTCATCTAAAGCAGGGGCATCATCGCCATGGCCACCCACCACCACCGGCACCACCACCACCACCATCAGCATCAGCAGCAGCATAATAATCAGCTTCAGCAGCATCACCCACCACCACCGACACCACCACCACCATCATCAGCAGCACCATCGTTAGCAGCAACATCATAATCAACATCATCAGCATCACCGTCAACAGCAGCAGCAGCGCTTTTGTAATTCAGCGCCGCCAGAGCAAAACTTGGTTCGGCTCCACTTTCAGATTTGGCGGGGGCGACGAGGGAACGAGGGATGGGGGGAAAGACGAGGCCGAGGGGGAAGCGACGACGAACCCAAAGCGCAGAAACGACCAATCAGGAGGAAAGGAAACGAGAGGGGAGGCGACAGAGCGACGAGACAAGACGGCACGAGGCAAAACGACAAGAAAAGAGCAGGTCCGCGGCCGCACCTCATTCAACATGGTCGATGACAGCCAGGCAAGGCCGGGTAAACATCACCACCTCGCAGCGGAACCGAAGAGGATGAACGCCTGCGACGACGACCAGTATTCAACACAGAGCGACGCCGCCTAAGTCCACCACGAGGAACCATACGCCAACCATCACAAAGATGAGGCCGCCTGCATCAACACCTCCTGCGCGCATCGTGGACGCACGACCGCAGCGCGAGGGAAATCCTTGTGACCACCACGAGGCCCTGGCCAAAACCTGACACTCAACGTTGGAGATGAAGCCGCACACAAACCCAGGTTTGAGAAAAAAACAATGAAGACAGCAGCCATGCCAACAGCATGATTAGGCAACACGACGCCAGCTCCACTACGTGCACGAGGAGCACTGCGCGACGTGGGCGGCCTGAAAGCCACGAAGGCTCCAATGAAAGCGTCGAGAACGATGGGCCTCGAACAGCGGCCGCCACCCTGCCGCCAGAGCTTTACTGCGAGGACCGCGGCACGGAGCAGACCGTGCAACAGCCGCGGCACTGGAAATAGCGAGGGGCTCGAAGTGCACGGCCCAGCCTCGGCTCTGTGGAACACCCCGCAACGCCGCGCAACACCCCCAGCTGAGCGCGACGACATATAGGTGTGTATCTATATATATATATATATATATATGTATACATACACACCGGCCCGCCGCCCCAGCCCTCGACCAGGCGAAGCTGCTCAAGGCCCCGGGCCAACGGAATGGGCCACATCCTGCGGCGGCCCGCTGCTCGAGCGAAGCTGCTCCACCGAAGCCGCCTGAAGCTGCTCCACCGAGCGGGCCGCCTGCGCGTATGCCAGCCCGAACGGCACGGCCTCCCAGCAATTCCCAGCCAGCGGTGCCGCTGCGCCTCCGCCTTCAAGTTGCGGAACACTTCTGCGAGGTCCATGCCCCCGCCGCAAGGACCCGCACCTTTTTTCTGGCACCTTGATGTAAGCTGCGCTGAGCCGTGGGCACACGGCCGCCCAGCCTCAGGGAGACCTCGTATGTGTCGAGGTCGGCGGCGAAGGTGTCGACATTGGTGGCTCTCCCGATGCGCTTCGGCGACTGGGTCAGCTAGTCGGGGCCAGTCGCATTGGGTGGCGGTGTCATCTCTTGGGGCTTCGGCGGCTACCGCGGACCGTAGGGGCCTGTAGGGGGCACTCCCCGCCGATCACATTTGTAAGCATGGCAGCTGGATCGTGATCAGGCTGCGAAGCCTCTTGAAATGCCGAGAACGTCCTGGGAGGAGCAAGCGCCAAGATCGGGGGCGCCTCGAGGACGCAGGGGAACGAGAATCGGCTTTGACCCTGAACGTCAAACGCAGACCTCCGAAGCGGAAGGAACTTGAACAGGCCGACTGGCACGACTTCCTCGTGCCACCGCTTGCGCAGCAAAGCACCTTCAGCAGCATCCTCGCAAAGCACCTCGGCAGGCAGGCCGACATGCGCGCCCAGCGTTGCGTAGTCCACCTCCAACACCTGGGCGGCAAGCTGCACGTCCTCCGAAGCACTTGTACTGGTACCAGCCGGGGGGCCTGTGAAGGACCCCCCCAGGAGCGACTGAGCACTCGGGCCGATTCATTCGCTTCCCTCGGGCTCGAACGCCGGACCCGAGTCGAAATCGGCGTGCCCGTAGGAGCCCATCTGGAGAGCGCTGGTCTCCTGCTTGATGCCGTCCATCTTCAACTCCCTGACGCTGCTCACCTCCGCCGACGCCGGCTCTTTGATCTCGTCATCTGGCTCCTTCTCCTCGGTCTGCGTGGCGGGGCTCGTCACCTCTGGCTCGTTCTCCCTGATCTCCGCCCCCGGATCCTTCTCCTTGATAATCTTCCGCGCCTGCTCCTGGATCTCCTGCTCGGTGTTGGGGGGCCTGGCGGTCAGGGCCCTGCGCGCCCACGGACGAAGATGAAATCGCCGCCTGGCAAGCTCTTCCGCCAACCACATCCGCACGCGATCTCGCCCTCCAGCCTGGAAGCCAGGCTTTCCGGAAACGTCGGCGCCACCACCCGCGCGGACATCTGCGGCGACAGGCCCTTGGGAACGTCACCATCATCATCATCATCATCATCATCATCATCATCATCATCATCATCATCATCATCATCATCATCATCATCATCATCATCATCATCATCATCATCATCATCATCATCATCATCATCATCATCATCATCATCATCATCATCATCGTCAGCGTCAGCGTCATCATCAGCATCAGCAACGTCAGCATCAGCATCCTCATCATCATCATCAGCAGCAGCAGCATCATCGTCATCAACATCATCATCAACAACATCATCATCATCATCATCATCATCATAATCATTGTCCTCATCAGCATCATTATCATCATCATAATCATCAGCATCATCATCAGCAGCATCATCAGCATCATCAGCATTATCATCAGCAACAGCATCCTCGTCATCAACATCATCATCACCATCGTCCTCTTCATCATCATAATCATCAGCAGCATCATCATCAGCAGCATCATCAGCATCAGCAACAGC